GGAGGGATAGCTCCTAGGAGGAATGAAAGAGATTGTATATCCCCTCCTCCTTGCCGAGGCACCGAGGCACACAAATGAGAGGGTGGCCAGAAATCCACCACAAGGGATGCCACTCTCGGCCACCACCACTCAGAATCAACAGGCAGCCTCCAAAGATACACCCATCACCCGAAGGACACCCTGAGGCACCCCTAGAACTCTGGAGGGGAAACAAAGCATCCCCAGATGATCCAGATTCCATGGCAAACAACACCACCACCAAGGACCTCAACGGATTATAATAGATATCAACACCCTTTCACCAACATTTGAGCTACTGTTTCAGAGGGGAAGACCCCTAAAAGCCAAACGCAGGAAAAGGAGAGGTGTGAAGGCTTACTCAGCCCTGTAACAACTCCAGTAAGTATTACCAGGGCTGGCTCCTCCTCAGGAAAATTAATGAATAGAAAAAGAATAAAAGCTGACAAACATAAACACTATTATTTAGAAATGAAAATATAAAATACTTAAATATGAAATATTTATCCTACTTTTAAGAAAAATGAAAAATGAAATGAGAAAAAATGATATTTGAATTCAACGCTAATATGTACAAGTAAACTGGGGTGTCTGGTTGATGTTGACACCGTCTTGTAGAAATTGTAGCCGTTACTGATGATGTGGGGGGGGGGCACAGATGTTGAGTGACAACCCAACGACTAGTTCTTCACAGAGTCTATAGCCTTGAATAGTCTTCCCATATGAAAGGAACGCAGGTTCTTCACCACTGCTGTTAACTACCAGTAATCAGGTAGGTAGATTACATAGTGACGTCTCCTGACGTGCTAGTCCGTCTCCGTCAACACTTTTTCTTTGGTTGTCAGATGACCCGAGCTGACATTCCAAGCTAGAAAAGAGACAAAGGTTACCCACTGCTTAAGAAATCACTCTCCATGATAAGTGCAAGGTGATAAATTAGACACATGTGCAACTCTTGGGTATCTTTATTGAGGAAACGTTTCGCAACACAGTGGCATCATCAGTCCATACAAAGGAGAATCTTGAAGAACAGGAGGAGAATGAGGTGATCAGTCCCTCAACCTTGAGTCGATGTGGTCAGTCCATCAATCTTGAATATAATACGGCCATACGTGCGGAGAAGGAGCTTATAAACCGTAGGCAGGAGAGGTGCAGCAGTCATAGGTGGTGTCACATTTGTTCAATGTGGAAGTAGGTCGTGCCCAAGAATTAGGCAAGTGAAGAATTCCCAAGTATTAAGAACCATCATCTACAAACCTGCAGACACTGCAACTTCTTGGGATCTTAATAATACTGGGAATTCTTCACTTGCCTAATTCTTGGCACGACCTACTTCCACATTGACAAATGTGACACCACCTATGACTGCTGCACCTCTCCTGCCTACGGTTTATAAGCTCCTTTTCCGCACGTATGCCGTATTCTATTCAAGATTGATGGACTGACCACATCGACTCAAGGTTGAGGGACTGATTGCCTCATTCTCCTCCTGTTCTTCAAGATTCTCCTTTGTATGGACTGATGAAGCCACTGTGTGCGAAACGTTTCCTCAATAAAGATACACAAGAGTTGCACATGTGTCTAATTTATCAACATGTCGGTTTTCTGAACCATTCATCTACATAAGTGCAAGGTACTTAAAAAATTGGTGATTTTAAAGTAAGACATGGAAATGAAGGCAGTAAGGAGTAAGTTTATTATTGGTCAAAAATGAAGCTTTCAACCAATATATCCACTAGAATAGGAGCAGAGGCTTTTACTTACAGTTGTGCTGGGAGCTGTGAATCAAGTGATTACTGTTTGGTCGGAGCCCCACACGTCACCTTTCGGGGTGGAGAAAGAGGAGGATGGGGGGACAGCGGGAGCTAGACTGACCCTACCTTAACAAGCAGCCGGCAATCAAACTATCGTCACCATATATTCGCTCGATACTCCTGTCTGTTGAACTTTTCCCTCACAAGAAGGGAGGGATGGGGAAAGGACAGGGAAGAGGATTGTTGAATTATGTGATTCAGTATTTACACCAGATCCATGCGTCCCCTTAAATTTCTGTATCCATTGTTCTTCTGTAGTTCTCTCTGTCCTTCTAAGCATTATATTTATCACATCTCTGTAAAGTAATTGCAAAGAACTACAGACCGATAGTACTAACATCCCATGACGTAAAAATCTCTGAAAGGGCTGTAAGAAGCAAGATCGTCAACTACCTAGATACCCATCATCTAAACAACCCAGGGCAACACGGTTTTAAAGCAGGTCGTGTCTGCCTGTCCCAGCTACTGGTCCATTATGACAAGGTTATGAATACATTAGAGGATAAACAAAATGCAGATGTAGTATACATAAATTTTGCAAAAGCATTCGACAAGTGCAACCACGGTGTAACAGCGCACAGAGTGCATGACAAAGGAATAACAGGAAAAGTTGGTAGATGGATCTAAAACTTCCTAACAAATGGAACACAGTCTTAGTCAACAGAGTAAAGGCTGAGGCAGCTACAGTGAGAAGCTCTGTTCCACAAGGCACAGTACTCGCTCCCATCCTAGTCCTCATCTTTATATTTGACATAGACAGAGATGTAAACCGTATCTTCCTTTGCAGATAACACCCGAACTGCCATGACAGTGTCCTCTATCGATGATACCGCAAGACTCCAAGCGGACATCAACCAAATCTTTAAATAGACCGCTGAAAACAATATGAAGTTCAATGAAGAGAAATTTCAACTACTCAGATATGAAAATCTTGAGGAAATTAAGACTGTATCAGAGTATACAACAAATTCTAACCATACAATATAGCGAAAAACTAATGTGAAGGACCTGGGAGTGATAATGTGAGAATAACAATGTATCTACCTCTTCTGCTAGAAAAATTATAGGGTGGATAATTCTCTGGTCAACAGTTTTTGAAAAGTTGTTTGCTTCTTAAATGAGATTAGTTACTTCTTATGTATTTTCATGTCCTAAATCAAAATATCACCTTGAAAAATGCTTATTGGCTATAGTGTTAAAATACGAAACATGTAATTTTTAATTATTTTATTATAACGTACAATATGTGCCAGTATGTTTTAAACTCTAATCCGTACTTACTCTCTGTCTTTTTGCTTGACGCTCATAGTGGGCTGAAGAATCATCTCTTGCCAATGTCTACAAACATTCTTGTGCCCCATTTGCCCTGGTACCATTTTTCCATGGTTGAAATATCTTGGTGAAACCTTTCACCATGTTCGTCGCTAACTGCTCCACAGTTCGCTGGAAAAAAGTCTAAATTTGAGTCCAAAAAGTGGATTTTAAGTGACATGTTACATCCCATGTTCTTGTAAGCCTTGATGAGGTTTTCCACCAATTCTTCATAGTTGCCTTCCCTTCTGTTTCCCAGAAATCCCTTCACCACTAACTTGAATGCTTCCCAAGCAGCTTTCTCCGCCCCCATGAAGGTCAGATTTAAAGTCACCATCTTTAAGAAGCTCTCGAATCTGAAGACCAATGAATACTCCCTCTCTTATCTTAGCGTCGCTCAGTGAGGGGAATTTTGATGTTAAATGCTTGAAACCCTGATCGGATTTGTCCATAGCTTTTACAAAGTATTTCATGAGCCCCAGTTTTATGTGTAGTGGCGGTAGAAAAATTTTGTTTGGTTCAATAAGAGGAGAATGTTGAACATTTTGGTGTATCTGCCCTGTTTGGCTAAGAAAATCACCTACCTTTCACCTCAAAATATAAACTTTATGATTGCTGGAACAATAATGAAGGGCAGTGCGACTGTGAGTGTGGTAAGAAACACACTGTCGCAAGCCTGTTGGAACCTGTTGTAACACGTAAGTGTATATTGAAAAATAGAGCTAACAAACGATTTTGATAATGATATTCATTATCAGTGACCTAAAATTAGTTGGAAATTAATACTCTGGTCTCGGAGGCATTTTGGTTGTTGACCAGTGTAATGAGAACCTTCAAAACTAGGGACACCAAGCCCATGATGGTTCTCTTGAAATTCCATGTTCTCTCTAGGCTGGAATACTGCTGTACACTAACTGCCCCCTTCAAGGCAGGCGAAATTGCTGACGTGGACAGTGTACAAAGAACTTTCACGGCACACATAAGTACGATAAAGCACCTAAATTACTGAGAATGGTTGAAATCTCTTAATTTGTATTTCATGGAACGCAGGCGAGAGAGATAATATACACTTGGAAAATCCTAGAGGGATTAGTACCAAACTTGCACACGAAAATCACTCCCACGAAAGCAAAAAAACTCGGCAGGAGATGCAACATTCTCCCATTGAAAAGCAGGGGCGCCATGTGTACATTAAGAGACAACATAATAACTATCTCCCATCATACATAAGAAGGATTAGCAATAGACCCCTGGCTGTATTCAAAAAGACGCTGGACAGGCACCTAAAGTCAGTAATTGACCAGCCGGGCTGTGGTTATTACGTCAGTCTGCGTGCGGCCAGCAGTAACCGACTGATTAATTAATCAGACCCTGATCCACCACGAAGCCTGGTCTCAGAACGGGTCGCAAGGGCATTGACTCCCGAAACCCTCTCCAGGTAAACTCCAGGCAAGCTCCAGGTCCCCTACCATAATTACTCTCTCATTTGGTTCAGAGTTCCTACACACTCGCTTAACATGTCCCAAAATCTCTCTTTCCTCTACACTCTTCTCTTCTCCAGGTGAATACACATTATGACCCACTTTTCGCATCCAACCCTTATTTTAATCCATATAATCCTTGAATTTATTCATACTAGTTAATAATTAATAGTCCTTAAATTTATACATAATATGATTATTATTGTTTCACAAATAATCCGCACACAGGAGACTGAAACTTCGTCACAAGTTTCAGTCTCCTATATACGGGTTATTTGTTTGTAGTTCCAGTAATGGTATTGTGCCTTTTCATTCTTTATTATAAATAATTTTATTGTTATGGTTGTTATTACTATTATTATTATTATTTCTGCAGAAAACTATCGTGTTCCGTCCGGCACAACAGTGCAATTGGTCATATACAAAATTCACCGTGACCCAGCACAGTTTCCAGATACAGAGGTGTTTGACCCTGACCGCTTCCTGCCTGAGAACGTTAACAAGCGTCATCCCTACGCCTACATCCCCTTCAGCGCTGGACCCAGGAACTGCATTGGTAAGATCTATGCCTCTGAGCGTTAA